AGCATGCGTATATTTTTCATCACGTGCAAGAATCTACGGTAGTTTTTCCGAGTCCTGGCGTGGGCTGCCATCAGCAACGTCGCTGCGCAGACCAGTTCGAGTGTGACAGGGATTTCCAATCCGACAGCGGCCACGGCGGGTATCAGAAGAAGCCTTGGCGTTGCCAGAAGCTAAAGGTCGAAAGTCGAGGCCTGAAAGGGGGGCCTGAAGAAGCTAACGGCAGAGCTGAGGGCATACTCACACTTGGACTTTCCCGGATGTACATGACCTCTTTTCTGGGCCGGCCTGGATACACCTGACCGCAATTACGTCCACAGAGAAGTGGAAAAAGTCCCTAGTGTGAGTATGCCCTGATCCCTTGGGTAGCAATATAGGGCCTCGCCACACCACTGTCGAAATGTGAAAAAGACAAAAATGTGGCGTCCGCATCTGGCCATGTTCTAGCGAGAAGTTCATTCTCAGTTTGCACGTTTCGATAGTGGTGTGGCGATGCCCATAGTGCATTACGAGTTGCCTTGGTCTCGTACCCTATGACGGAGAAGATAGCTACTCCGTTTCCTGCATAGCCTAAGCTGGGTACTGGCCGCAGTATGTTACTCCGGGTTGAATTGTGATTGCAATATAAAAGTCATCTTTCATTTAAAAAAAGAAAAAGAAAAAGAAAAAAAAGATAGCTACTGTCTACGGCGGCCACTGGGTGAAGCCCACCAGTATCCGAGCAACGCGCACCCATTAACAAGGAAGGGGCTGCGATTTTCGAAGTACCGGGCAGCCTGTGCCCGGTTAAATGGATTCGTCATCATAATTGAAACTGCATAGTGGTGTGGTGGAAGTAGTTGAGAATCGTGGAGTGTGTATAATAAAAAAAATCAATCAAGATTGTGACTGCTGCAATTTGATTGTAATCGACTTGATAACCAGTTGCTGTGATGGGAAAAAAAAAACAAAAAAAAACTACCTAACCCGCAGTTACCCGCTTGGTCGCAATTACTGCATAGTCAATGAAAAACAAGACGGAAAGAAAGAAAGTAAGAAAGAAGAAGCTTTA